AAAATGGATCTGCTAGGGAAAATGTCCACAGTTTATGGTTATGCATACTTTATCTTCCAGAAGCTCTAACCTAGAATGTTGCATTTCCCCCAAGGAGCCAGCAGTTAGATACTGGGTTATCACCAAGCTAGTACTATCAATAAGGCACATAATTGGCAAAATAGGCTTTTGTGCACTTAGCCACTGTTTGCAACACCATTTCTGGAAAAAGTAGAGAATTCTAAACAGCCAATTAATGTCATACCACACAATCCATTTCTAAACTGGAGACAGCTTGTATAACCTTCCCATTGCATATACAGCAACTTGTTATATGAATAAAATGACAGAGAGAAGTAACTTTAGTCAAAAAATCCTGGCAAACATCATCTCAATTAGGTAATCAAGGTTAGTATCAGTGACCATTCATGCTGACAACAGCACATACTCCATATTCTTGACAGAATGAGAATGACATTTACTGCTATAAAATCTTCCTGCTAAGAACTTATTGACATTAGACTATTTTTTAAAAAATGTATTAGACAAATCACAACTGAGAGACATTCTACAAAATACTTGACAAGATCTCCTCAAATTATTAAGATAATAAAAAAATGGGAGGTCAGAGAAATCGCCACACACCAGTGGAGGTTAAGGGACATAACAGTTAAATGCAATATGGTATCCTGAATGAAACTGTAGGGGTGTAAAGGGTGTGATGTCTTTCCTCCTTTATGAGAGACAGTCATAACAAAAGATAGGTTAAAGAGAGAAAAACAGCAATTTTGATCAGTTTTATGTGACATGGGCGACTTCCAACTGAATACTCAAAGACCTATAGTGAACTAGATTGTGAAGCATGAATGACTGGGCAGAAAAATGACTGAACAAAAAGAGTATAGGCTAATAGCAGTAGACTAAGGGCATGTGGAAGAACCCAGCAATGACTGTCTGTTCAGACTCTTCTTGGGCTGGTTAGCATTTCTTCCTTCCAGGTATAGGGCAGGATCTTTTCTGGAATGGAGTTCTTATGACCTACAATGAAACGAGGTAGGATAGAGAATTTCCTTATGGTCAGTTCTTAGAAAGGCAGGGAAGAGTTGAGTAGCATTTCCAGGTTTTTATGACTGGCGTTGGGGAACAGTGGTCCTGGTGTTTACGACCACCTTGGAGAAGAGGTATCCTTGTTTCTATGGTTTGTTTTGGGGGAAAGTGAGGATGAGGAACAGAAGGGTGGAGAAGGTCACTTTGGGTATCATTTTCTAAACCCCAATAGGAAGAAGAGGACTATAAAAGTACATTAGGGGAAAATTGGTGGAATTTGAAAAAACATGGTAGTTAATAATGTATGAATGTTTGTTATGAAGACGGTTCCACAGTAATGTTAATGGGGACACTAGGGGAGAAATACAGAGAAACTATTATTGTAACTTTTCTGTAAATCCATTCCAAAATAAAAATTTTAAGAGTATTCCAGGTTAACTTCCTTTTTATTGATACTTTTCTGAAAATTAAGCATGCAAAAGAGTTGCTTTTCAGCTCTCACTACCCTTTCAGCACTGAGCAATAAGATCAAGTTGCATCAAGGTGTCAGTGATGAAGAAGGAGAAAACAGATTCTGTAACTGCTGGCACCTCTTGGCTAAGAGCAATGATCAAGTCTCTGATGTGTCAGCCATGGTGGTATGATACAACCCTCATCCAATGATGGCCTCTTACTTCTGGCTTTTGTCTTTGGCAGTGATGCCACTAAACTAACTGATAACAACTTAGTGTCAAAGAAATACCTAACTTCCAATTAATGCTAATGATACAATTTTTCCTATCACTATCCATTCATACAATATAAGGGATAGGGACTCGATAAATTTTTCTCAGGGATTTCAATTGATTTATTTTCCTCATGCTGAACATATCAGACCAATTTCAGGGTTGAAATTTTTAGTGATTCAGGTTTTAAACGTGACTGTTTTTTCTCTTCTCTGTACTGAGCAAACCATGTAGGCTAAAACGATGGCAGCTTCACCAAGTGTTTTCTTGACTAAGACTGTACTAATTTTTGTCTTACCAAAAGTGAGTCTTCTTTCCAGTACGAGTGCTGTGCTCTTGTCATGAAGCAGCCCTTTTCACTCCAACTCCAAAACCTGCTGTCTTAGCTTGGCAGGAATACCACTAACTTGGAAAGCACAGTGCAAGCAGGCATCATGATACTGGAAAACAAGATCCTAGGCTAGATGCTGAGGCAGGATGCATTTAAGGGCTTGAAGAGATGACTTGTTTTATAAACATTCAGTGCAAGATGAATCACTAGAGCAGGATAAACTTAATGTCCTCTGTACCCTTCCCCCTCAAAAGTATGCAAGAATCAATACCACTACCACCACCACTCTCCAGTGCACATGTGCACACACACACTCACATATACACACAAGAATGCTTGGGAAATCTCAGGGATATCAAAGGTCCTACAAAAACAGGGCAAAATATACATTCAGACATAACAGGCGGGCAAAAATCTAACAGCAAGTTGAAGGAAACTAACAGATGGCACAGTTGACCAGAAAAGAAAGTAGACATGCCAAGAGCAGGTTTGGCACCCACTCAAGTTCACCAGTAATAAGTCATGTTTACAGACTCATACAGACTTTCACATCACTCAGTGACTTTTCATAAATATTTATTGGTGTTATCCACAGAATTTAAGCTATTCCTCTATTTAAAAAACTTCACATTCTACTGTGAGTTTGTCTATAGGTATTTTCTTATATTTTCTCTATAAAATTTTTGATATTACATACAAACAGAAGTTTCTGAAACTGACACACTTGCTCAGGAATGAAATTTCTAAAAACAAACATTCAATATCTGGTAAAAATCATTTATTCAAAATATAAAATTTTATCCTAATTATTTGATGTTTAATGCAATTAATTTTGTTGTGAAGGCTTTTGTGTTTTTCCCTGAAATGTCTCTGACTTTAACGAAAGCTTCTGATCATTCAGGATGTTGACAATTTTCTTCTTCATGTGAATTCTCTGATATACAATAAAACTGAATTCTTATAGATCTTCTGAAATGTATTATGTTAATAGAATTTCATCCCAGTCTAATAGAGAGTTAGCAATACAATGCATTTAACTAATAGGTCAAATCTGAGAGCTCAATGGAATACAAACTTAATTCTTGCTTGAAAAACAAACAACTGATGAAGATCTGGAAGCAGAGAATTATATTCCAAACAGTTATTCAGACTCTAGCTTCTTTTGACCTTATGCTCCACCACATTCAACACACAAAAGTCAACTTGCTGTGGAAATCATCTCAATCCCATCTTACCATGGACCAGGAAGATTATATGATGTTTAAGGGCCAGGATTAAATGTAATAGATATCATTAGCATCATATTCTTTGGTCAGCCCACCTGGTTGACTGAGATTAGGATTTTCAACAAGCTATGAGCCTAGTGGACAAGGAAAATGTTAAGGAAAACAATTTTCCAGTCTACATGACAAGAGTTTCTCTGCTGTGTGGTATAAAATAAGGTATGAGATAATTCAGGACTTCTCAAATTCATGATGTGTTAGGGTTTCTCTCTGGTATGCATTCTGATGTGATGTACTCTAAGAGCTGCTTTATGAACAAAAATTTTCCCACACTCACCACATTCATAGGGTTTCTCCCCTGTGTGAATTCTCTGGTGTACTCTGAGAGTTGAAATTTGGGCAAAACCTTTCCCACATTCATTACATTCATAGGGTTTCTCCCCTGTGTGAGTCCTCTGGTGTGCACTAAGGTGTGACTTCCGGGAGAAAGTTTTCCCACATTCATTACATCCACAGGATTTCACACCTGTGTGAATTCTCTGATGCACTCTAAGAGATGAGTTAAGGGCAAATGGTTTCCCACATATATTACATTCAAAGGGTTTCTCCCCTGTGTGAGTCCTCTGGTGTGCACTAAGGTGTGACTTCTGGGAGAAAGTTTTCCCACATTCATTACATTCATAGGGTTTCTGCCCTGTGTGAGTCCTCTGGTGAGCACTAAGGTGTGACCTCCGGGAGAAAGTTTTCCCACATTCGTTACATTCATAGGATTTCACACCTGTGTGAATTCTCTGATGCACTCTAAGGGATGAGTTAAGGGCAAATGGTTTCCCACATATATTACATTCAAAGGGTTTCTCTCCTGTGTGAGTCCTCTGGTGTGCACTAAGATGTGACTTCCAGGAGAAAGTTTTCCCACATTCATTACATTCATAGGGTTTCTGCCCTGTGTGAGTCCTCTGGTGAGCACTAAGGTATGACCTCTGGGCGAAAGTTTTCCCACATTCATTACATCCATAGGATTTCACACCTGTGTGAATTCTCTGATGCACTCTAAGGGATGATTTAAGGGCAAATGGTTTCCCACATGTATTACATTCATAGGGTTTCTCCCCTGTGTGAACTCTCTGATGTGCATTAACATATGACTTCTTAGAGAAAGTTTTCCCACGTTCATTACGTTCATAGGGTTTCTCCCCTGTGTGAGTACTCTGGTGAGCACTAAGGTGTGACTTCTGGGAGAAAGTCTTCCCACATTCATTACATTCATACGGTTTCTCCCCTGTGTGAGTCCTCTGGTGTGTATTGAGGTGTGATTTCCGGGAGAAAGTCTTCCCACATTCATTACATTCATAGGGTTTCTCCCCTGTGTGAGTCCTCTGGTGTGCACTAAGGTGTGACTTCTGGGAGAAGGTTTTCCCACATTCATTACATCCAAAGGATTTCACACCTGTGTGAATTCTCTGATGCACTCTAAGGGATGAGTTAAGGGCAAATGGTTTCCCACATATATTACATTCATAGGGTTTCTCCCCTGTGTGAACTCTCTGATGTGCTCTAACATATGACTTATCAGAGAAAGTTTTCCCACATTCATTACATTCATAGGGTTTCTCCCCTGTGTGAGTCCTCTGGTGTGCATTAAGGTGTGACTTGTGGGAGAATGTTTTCCCACAATCATTACATTCATAGGGTTTCTCCCCTGTGTGAACTCTCTGATGTACACTAACATA